GAAGAGAGAGAGAGAGAGAGAGAGAGAGAGAGAGAGAGAGAGGGAGAGGAGACACTCACTGACTACGTCGATACTGATGGTGTGGTTGATCGATCCTTGGGCGTTGCTGGCTATGCACGTGTACCGACCCTTGTCTTCCTCGAGAACTCCATTGAAATGGAGAGTTCCATTGATATCTTGCACGTGCTTCGGGAATTCTTCGCCTGACCCCTCTTTGATCCACTTCACCGTGGGATTAGTGGCGCCCTGAGACTTGCAAGGCACTTTGGCCGTGGAGCCAAGCTCGAGCCGCTTGTCCACCGGTTGCGGGGAGAACTTGAGCTTCTCCTCGACAGTGAGGCTGGCTCGTTCCGAAAATATCGACGGGAAGCCTTTCGTGGTTATCTCGCACGTGTAACCGCCCTTGTCGGACAGGTCGGCGCTCTTCAAGTGCAGGGTCACGTTGCCGTGGTGATCGGTTACTCGGTGCCTCGTCGGCCCGCCGCTCTCTTTCAGAGGCTCCCCGTCCTTGAGCCAACGAACGTGGGTCACAGGCGCGTCCATGCCGGAATAGGAGCACGTCATCGTCACGGAGTCACCCTCCATCACGCTTAGACTCTCGGGCGAGCTTATCAACGTCGGTGGAGCTGGACAAGAAAAGAACGATTTTGTAACTCGAGTTTTATGTGTTTTTCATACGAATATATTCTACATGAATCGCTGAACGGTGCCCGAGAAAGATCAACGGCCGCGTTTACGCTTCGCACAATTCGAGTTGCTTTGAAGGAAATGCTACAAATATCCCAGAGAAAGATATACATCTGTGTATCTGCATCTTATGCAAAGCGAAAGGGTTAACATTACAACGGGGTTAACGACGACATCATATCTCTTACTCGAGATGACCACTTGGGCGGAAATATCGGTCTCCCCGGCCATATTCTCGGCGACGCAAGTGTAATTGCCGTCATCCTCGCCTATCCTCGCCTTCGCGACGATGAGCGTGTTATCCTGAACGCGAACAGGGCCGGAGTCGCTTATAATGTGCCCCTTGGGATCCCTCCAATAGACCCTCGGAGACGGGAGGCCGGATGGTTCCAAACAGCTGACTTGCAACTCCTGCTCCTCGCCAACCACGGCCACTTGGTTCGACAACAGGGGTTCGAACGAGGCCGCGGAAAGGTTCATCAAATCTGGGAACGCAACAACAACAACAACAACGACGACGGTGTCTTCGACCACCACTACTTACGCTTACTTCGTCGCGAAATATTCGATTCGATTATCAAGCTTACAAGCTATTTGAAGATCGACCGTGTAGCTGATGGTAGTCTCTCCCCGATCACCGTGGCAGGAATAGAAGCCTTGGTCCCTGTGCTCGGCCGATCGTATGACCAACGTGCCATTCTCGAACACGGTCCTCTCGTCGTCTGTCTCGAGCGGGCCCATGTCCTTGAAGAACCACTGCACCGAGTCGGCATCCTCGAACACGCAGTGGAGGACAGCCGGCTCGCCCCTCTTCGCGATCAGGTCCCTTGGAACGACCTTGACCGAGGCGGTCTCGTTGCTCGAGACGATCAGGGGGAAGCTTTCCATTTTCGGGGAGGAGCCGGCGTCGTTCTTCGCCAGACAGTTGTACATCCCGCTGTCCTCGGCCACGGCTCGATGCACGTGCAGCTTCTTCTTCTTGATCTCGATCCGATCGCTCCTCACCACCGGCTCGCGATTTCTGCGAAATGCCACGAATACGAATTCATCCACGAGCGTAGGAAGAGGCAAGGTTTCGAGCGGACGGATGAGTTTTTTTTCATCGATAGAGGAAAGGTTGGGAGGACATCTCGTCGAGATGTCGACGCGAGAAGGGTTGTAAACTCGCAAGGGCGAGGTGAAAAGCGCAGGGGCGTGGAGAGTGGAGAGAGAGAGAGAGAGAGGAGGGGAGGGGGGAGAAAGAAAGTGTCGT